TTACTAGTTTAGTCCAATTTAACCATGTCGAAAAGAAATAATTCGGATAGATTAATAGTGGAACCTGATTTTAATTTCGATCTCAATACGGAGTTATGTAATGTATTAAGGAGCGATCAAGAAATACGTAGTACATTACAAGATTTGATCCAAAAGCTCTCAAAAGATATTGTAAACAAGAATGATGAACAGCAGAGAACCATTGATCTTGATGATATGGATTCAAAGTTGCTCGTCAATAGTTGGTTCTCCAACCGATTCTCAATGCTCGTCTGGAAAAGCGTTTGTGTGATTTTCAGGAAAGATTAAAACAAGTCGAATGTGATATAGGCGGTAACAGCGAACGAGTGGACGAAATGGAAAGATATAATAGATCATTCATCCTTCGCTTTCTAAACGTGCCGCCTGCGAGAAGCGAAGCTGCTGTTCTATTAGCGGTAAATGTAGCGTTTTAGATGAGAAATGAAATCAATACGATGCAATTGAAAGAACTTATCGTATCTCGGCTAAACAGAAGAAGTTAGGTGCTATGAAATATCCACCAGTATTAATAGCAAGACTTCATTCTCGACCGATTCGTCGTGAAATTGTATCTTTAAAACGATCTGTCTCAACTGCATGCACAACATCCATTTTCAAAATTGAAAATGTCTGAAGATCTATCGCGACACAATCTCGAAACCTTCCCAACAGCGCGACCAAAATTAGATAAAGGCGAACGTCACCGAATATATTTCAACTTGAGTAAATAGAATCTGATCATATCTAACACCACGGTTTATAGTTCTTTCTTATTGATTCTGAGCTAGTGGGTGGATATAATAGATTTTTTTAAAGAGGAACTTCTAAGTTTAAAATCAAATGAATTAAGTTTAAATTCTGTGATGGGGATTTTGCAAAAATAATTGAGATTTTAAGGGGAGAATCTCCCCTGGTTTTTCACATCACTTGTTATCTATGTCTACTTACATATATGGTGATACGTCTGAACCTCCCAGACACGTTCTTCCCATTTTCTTTTAACTTTTAAAAGTTTACAGATTAAGAAGTTTTACTAAAAAGTTCACGGTTCATGGAAGAAGCGTGTTCTAACGATAAGACTGGTTCCGATCGATCAACAAGATCGAAGTGCCTATATGCTGAAGTTACTGCGAACTTTTGAATGAAGTTTGGTTAACAAAAATTTTGTTTTTTCTTGAAATGTCGATTTTTCAGAAAACTAGTATATTTTAAGAGCCTTACCGCAGATTGTGGCTTAACGAGGCACGATATAGAAACTTTTTGCTGACAAAAGTCTTTCTTAGGTGCCAAAAATGGTTTACTGAGTGTAATACTTTTTCCAGCGTAACGGAATCAATTTAAAAGTTTAAAATTATGAAGAACCTAAAAATTCAATTTTTCTCAAAATTTTTCCGTTACGCTGAAAAAAGTATTACTCGCAGTACCCCGTTTGGCACGTAAGGAAGAGTTTTGTCATAAAAATATTTTTCATCGTGGTTCGTTCAGCCATAACCTAGATCGAACAATACGGTATGGAAACGGCCGTATTCGGCTAAATAACGGTGATTTTCGGCCTGGAAACGTCGACCGTATATGGTGCATCGTATTACGGTTCAATTACGGTATGATACGGTGCCGTATACGGTGTTCGTTTACAGTGCTACCAAAATGCACCGTATTTGATCATCGTATACGCGCATTAACTACGCCGTATCAGACAAGTACTTTTAATCAATAGTTACGTACTATGAAATGATATATAGCCGATAGTTCTCGTTCGACTGCGTCTGGTACTGTCAAGCTCTCTAACGTTTTCTAACGTTTGCTAAAGTTTTCTAACGAGGCTAGAGACTTGCAGTTTTCACCGTTCAGTTCAGCTTGCTGAGCTCTATAATATGATGCAGGACTTGTCACTGACGTCAAAGGTCGATGTAAATGGTGGTAGGTTTTGTATGGATCCAGCCTATCCGCCGATGTGGAAAACGTGACTCTGCAGTAGTAATATTCGTAAAAATTAGTATTCACACTTTCAGCTAGAAATGCATTACCAGCCATTTTATAGTGTTTCGAAAGAGCTTTCTTCTGATATTTAATACAGACCGCAACCTAGGTTCTTTCATGGTACATACACAGACACATTATCCATCAGTATACTTGAAAACATCATCATTTACTAGTAAAATCCCAAAAAGTGAGTGTCAACTCGAAATAAATCAACAGCCATTTTGTAGGGTTTCCAAAGAGCTTTCTTTTGATATATAATACAGACCGCAACCTAGGCTGTTTCATGGTAAAAGCAGTAGAAATAGTATCGTGGACTATACTAAAAAGACCGCTTTTGAACAGTAATATCCGAAAAAACGAGTGTTCGCACTTTCAGCTAGAAATGAATTACCAGCCACGACGGATATCTCGGCGGCAAAACGGTTTAGGGAGTCGGGCTGGTGATATTCATGATCTCCCTTGAATTCTCTCTCGAATGCTGTACAATCGTATACACATTGGAAATAAATTCACTTGATCTTTGCAAAGCTTTCACCTTAAGGTGAGATAAGGTGGAGCAGTTCATGGAAGTTCAGGGAATTTTAGATATTGTAAGGTAAGTAAAGGCAGACAGGTTGAGAGAAGTTGAGCGAATTTTAGATGTGGTAAGGTAAGGAAAGCAAGGGTAGAAAACTTCAGAGGATTTTAGACAAAATAAGGTAAGGCAGACGGCTTGTCCACTTAACTCCGCTGGCAGAGATGTCATAGCGTTACCCTTTTTGCTCATTTTATTTTGAGCATAGTTCCGTTACGAAACTTTCCAGGAGGCGGACGAATCTCGAAATCTTTAAAAGAATTCTTCCCTCAATTTGAGATGTTCCCGAGCTCTCTAGAAAGTTTCGTAATTGAGCTATCCTCAAAACAAACTGAGTAAAAAAGGTAACGCTATGACGTCTCTGCAGCGTCACTTCCTCTTGATTAGATTAAAGTGATGAAAATTATATGGGATATGTAATCGACTATGGGCAGTCAGAAAATGAGATGGAGCGTCCTGTACAGTCGATTATTGGTCAAAAACTTTATTTCCGCCTAATTGCATGAAAATTTTCCTCACCGTAACGTACCAGCGGAAAACATTACTTTGACGGACGTACACACACGCATATTGTAAATAGTCTTGCAGCGAACGCCGACTGAAGGGACGTGCGAGCGTTGTTTTTGATTTATTGTCATCGAAGGTCGTCCGTAGGTATAAGTTCCTCAAGTCACGCCACCGAGCGAGTGCAGACGAGCGTTACCCGTTATATTTTACTTCAACATAATATAACCCAAAATGCGAATCACCCTTTTTTGTCGATGCATTAAAAAAAATGAGAGAATGCACTATATTTTTAAATGCTAGTAGAATCCTGTTATAATAGTAGGCACACTTAACCGAAATCCTAGATCCCTAGTAGGATCTTAAACGGATCATAACAGGATTCTACTATACATTTCAAAATATAGTTCACTCCTTCGCCTTTTAAATGACTCGGCAGAAAAGAGTGATACGAACTTCGAGTTTCACTATGATGAAGTAAAATACAAATTGCAAGACAAGTCATAAACGCAATCAATATGTGAATAGTATGACAGTATTGATAAACTGCTTGAATAGCCTTACATAATTCTCTCACGTGCACTTTTCTCTTACTACTCTCATTCACTTTTGAATATACCCGGTAAACTTGCGCATAACGCTTGGCAACGTGTCAGTGCGGTAGCCTCATCGAGCATTCATGAAACTAACACGAAAACGTACTACCAATGAGCTTGTAGTGAGACATGGATATGCAATTACTTTTGACTCAATTTATTTTCCTAGAAATTCGTGTTCACTACTTTTTCTAACTTTTCACTGAAAATAAACACAGCCACAGTATTCGACTCTTACCAGAAGGGGCTGTCGGCGTTGTATTGACACTACTTTGTAACATTTCATTATTGGTTGTCACAGTATTTTCTGGAGATATTATTGTTGTTGATGATGATGCCAACGTTCCTAAAGCGATCAACCTGCATATGTTCACATGATAAATAAACATGCTGAACGAATAAACACGGTGGAGTTAAAAAGACAAGTCGAGTTAAACTGCGCGCTGTTAATCCACTGTGACGAAACATTGTAGTTTCTTTACTTCTAGAGTCGGGCTATATTAGTTTAGACTTCAGTTCGACAACAAAAATCAGTTATTGTTTCCTCACGCACCACCCATGTCAAAATTTCGAAAGTATTTTTAGCAGAAAATTGCAAAAAATTCAGGTCTGTTGTTTTGCAAAAACCTCTGGTAAAATTTCCGTGTCTCACGAAACAGCGCACGCATGAATTTACTACTGCATTTTTTGCAGAAACAAAAAATCTTGCGAGAAAACACAAGAAAACATCATCGTTTTTCATGCATAAAATATTACTCGTGTAGTTATCTTAAACCTTCATGCGGTGTTCTGCAAACAGTATCACGGGCAGATCCATCGAATCGTCCCACAAGTAACCCATGAGACTCGATCCGCGCATCACTCCCACTGACACTGGTCTCCTCGATGGTAAGAGGAGTCACTTAGAGAAATCTCTACAAGTTCGTGACTATGCATTTCATGATCGTTCGCAGTAACTCGAGAACGAAAAGTGGTAGAGACGAATGGTCTCCACCATTGCTAGCCGTAGCTTCTCGTCTATGAATGTGGGTGAAACTCGAGAATTGTCAAATAGTGTATTTGATCAATCTTTAGAAAAGTTTGAAAGACAAGGATAGCTAGCTTCGATGCTAGGATCATTAGTCCAAAGTGTTGTTTAGAAAACTGCGCGTGACCAAGTCATGGTTTTCGAAGGAGTAGTATATTGTAGTGAGACATGGATATGCAATTACTTTTGACTCAATTTATTTTCCTAGAAATTCGTGTTCACTAGTTTTTCTAACTTTTCGCTGAAAATAAACACAGCCACAGTATTCGACTCTTACCAGAAGGGGCTGTCGGCGTTGTATTGACACTACTTTGTAACATTTCATTATTGGTTGTCACAGTATTTTCTGGAGATATTATTGTTGTTGATGATGATGCCAACGTTCCTAAAGCGATCAACCTGCATATGTTCACATGATAAATAAACATGCTGAACGAATAAACACGGTGGAGTTAAAAAGACAAGTCGAGTTAAACTGTGCACTGTTAATCCACTGTGATGAAACACTGTATTTTCTTTACTTCGAAATATACAAGTTAGACTTCCGCATAACGTTTGGCAAGGCATCACTGCTAGTTGCAGGTAGTGTATCTTCAAAATATTTGACGGTGTTTCTGGAAAGGATCTTAAATATGTTTGCATTTACTGGAAAGGACCATTTTCCGGTAAATACGGATTGACCGGTTTAGCCGTAGTAAATTAACAAACTAAAAGCGACCATAAAACTTGACCAAAATGCCCGAAAAAAATCATCCATGGAGAAAACCTAGATACATTTTGCCATTAAAGACAAAAAGCTATCGTTTTCTTGTTTATTTTTGCAGGGTAAAAATACAGCGCAAGAAAACGCATATAAGAACCATGCGTTTTCTGGTGTTGCGTTAGTGTTGCCAAAAAATGCACGTTTCTGCAGAAATCGTGAAAAAAATTTGACATGTGTAGTATGTGTTTATTGCCTATGTATTCACTACTAATATATACCTACTAACAATGCCTTTTCTCAATATTTTTAGATTAATATTTTTCAAAGTGGCATGTTTAAAACAAAATGGAGAGAAGGAAAAGCACTAAAACAAAATGTTAATGCTTGTTAATGGATCTTTTCTTGAATGAAATATCCTCTGACTTTCTTAACCATTTTTTTCTTTAGTAATAAATGTCATATCCTACGAAGGTGCAGCCTGCTGCAAGTGAGACCATTAAAGTATATTGAATAAGGGAAGCCGTCAAAATTCGCATCGGATGAATATATTCACCGTAAACGTTTCAAAAACAAACAGAAAATACTTTGGTTTTTGGAACGGTTTTCGCGAAACCTACGGAACTTAGAGAATACCGTTTATTGGTCTTAAGTACAGAGTTAGATTAAGGTCATAAAACAGAGTATATCTTGATTTACTGTAGTAGCTTGGATGGACTTTGGGTGAGGTATGAATTTTTAATTTGTGATGAAAATAGCCAAAAATGGGTTGATTTGCCTAGTAGAGGTTTTCACTCGATCCGTGCATTTTGAAGTTAAGAAATAAGAAGAGTCAAAATGATGTTTCTAGACGGAGTTGTGAATTTTTTCTTCAAAGAACCTTGAATTTTCAACAAAAAAAGGCCGACTTCGTCCGTACAATACTTGTATTTCACTGACTCCTAACAGCCAACTTACGGAATTTATATCGTAGATAGAGTAGAGTCGTGGCTGCATTTTTGGGAAAATAAAAAGTTTTCATCTCTCTTAGATTAGGAGCTGTTGATATTTTACGGATAAGAGATAAATCGCTTATCAAGAAAATCGCTAATCATAAAAGAGGCGCAAACGTAGTAGGTGATCAGGATTTGGTAAGAGCAACGGACACACAAAATTAGAAGTCTCCAGCTATCATGGTTGTTGAGTTACAAGGGTGTCGCTACTTGCTGACTTGTTTTTGAAAAAATAATCCTATACTCAAAGGATTAATTAATGCTAATGAATACAAATTAATATCAATCTGGTACCTTACACTTTTATTTGCAAATTAACGGTTTATTGGAAACGGTAAACGCTCTGGCCAGCCATCTCTGCTACCGGACGGCTTGTCCACGTAACTCGAGACTTCGCTGATCAAGTTTTTGAAAAAATTATTTTAGAGTAGAACTGATAGGAGCAGATCACTAGATGCAGTTTTCGACGCTGATTAGGAATCTCACATTAGTTTTTGAAAAACGTTAAATTTTGGTACTAAAAACCCAGTTTTACATTTTTTAAAAACTGTATTTTCAATTTCCTCACCTAGACACTTTTCCTATTAAAAATGGAAGGCCACACTAATCGATAGAGAATTCGATTCTCTACAAGATGATATGTTTCTTTTGAAGTTTAGACTCGGAACCAGCTTTTTAATAAAGTTTTAAGTTTTAAGATTTTCACACAATTCTAAGAAAGTGAAAACATTTTTTCAGCTTTATTTTCACCTTAGTCTATATTAGATGTCTAAAGCTAAGTCTGATGTGAA